TCAACAAATAAGATAGAAAAAAAAAAAAACAAGTACCGAGTTCTCGAAGCCATAAATAAATTAAAAGAAAAAATTGCAACAAATGAAATTAAAAATGAGAACAACAATTAAAGATGTAAAATCACACACCGACAAAAAAATGGGCAGGCAACATGAATCACTCGTAACAGAAAATGTAATGTATGTGAAAAGTCGTGAACGATGTGAAGTACCTGACAGGCTGACACTAATATCACACATGCAAAATGCAACATGATACAATGTATCCTACTGCTAATGCACTGACCTCACATGTCGAAAAAAATACAAGAAACAATAGTCTACAAGTCGTGTCGTAACTGCCTAAATGATACAAGAAAAAAAAATACTGTACAGTCTGAACTCAGTCTGCTGCAACCGACGACACTCTACAAACACCCTACTCAGCCTACTGACACCAAAATCATACTCTACGAACACCCTACTGCTACCAAAATCATACACACCAACAAGTAAAGCACGCACACAACCACTGAGTGTCTGACAATACTGAGACAAGACGAGATGACTCAGACTACGAAAAAAACTACAACTGCACAACATGACGACGTACAGTGCGAGTAAGGGAGAAGCGGAGTGTTGGCCTCATCGGTCAACGACCCTTCTTCCCCTTCCCGCTGTGTTTCCTCGTGCCCCCTCGAGTGCCGGATGTCGACCTCTTCCTCCCTCGTGAGGATGAAGAAGTCCGTGCAGCAGAGCGTCTAGATGCACGCGTCGGTGGGGGTCCTGGGGAAGGTGGGGGCTTATCGTAGTCGTCGTCGTCGTCACCATCGGAACCGTTCCTGCTATCCTCCTCTCCCATCTCCTCGCCCTCGTTGTCCTCGTCCGCATCCCGCACAGCGGCATCCGTATCAGGATCATCCTCCTCGATGGTGACTGGGCCTCCTCCCTTCCTCAACACAACAACCCTCGCACTAGCCTCTGCAATGGTCTGCTCACGGCAGGAACCACGAGGCATCCCTCACCCCTCCGCCCCCGAACTCTCTCCAAGTGTTGCGCCTCCCTCTGCAGGTACGGGGCGTGGACGAGAAGGCACTCCACGCTTGAGTGGAGTCTGCTCCTGCACGGCACGCGTCGCTGCTCTCAGAGCGTACTCCAAGGTCTCGGTCGACACTCCTCTGTCACGACCTCGTTGAGGCTCACAACCTGATGCCGGTACCTCCCTCGCTGCGGTCGTTCTAGCGCCTCCTCCTCCCAAGCCCGGCTGAAGGCGTGCAGTGTGCTCCGTGACATGGCGGGTGGAATCCAAATCTATATCTGTCCTCCCGAATATCGTCGTGTCACACACGTCCTGCTGAACTGCAGTCGTGTCACGAATCCTAGATCTCCCAGGCGTGTGTGGGGATTGAGAGCCTCTGCCTGTGGACGACGATGATGGATCACCTGCAGGTGCTCTGGGAGGAGGGGGTGGCATGTCTCCTGTGCGTGGCGCTGTCTCCGTCACGCCACCCGAAACCCCAGGAACATGTCCCGCGGTATGTCCTCCGGTGGAGGTAGACCCAGACCACACGGGGGACGCAGGACCCCATGGAACCGAAGGGATCGTCTGGCATGGTGGGTGCTCGAGCCTCCGGTCGAAGATCTGCCGGTCCAAGCGAGTGACATCGCGCACAACCTCTCTCGCCAACTCCTCTGCATCCAAAGGACGACGGACCTCCTGCGGAGCAAAGTGGCTAGGAAGACGTGGGGGCTCAACCACCGGCTCGGACCCCAAATCCGTGATAACGGGCGGTGGCACACAATGCATTGCCATCTGAACCGCCTGTGGCTGTCTGGCCTGAGCCAAGTGCAGGCCCGAGAATGGAACGACTGGACCCGTCGCTGTCTCCTGCCCCTCGACTCGTCGCTGTCCTGCCTGCACAGCCTCATCCACCGCCTGAGGCCGTCCCTCCACAGCAACGCCCGCTGCCTCTGCTCCACCCGTCATAGCCTCGGGTACCGGCTCTGCTGCCACTCCCTCCGCGATGTCCTCCTCCGCCACCACCCCACCCTGCACACAATCCTGCCCTATCTCTCGACGCCTGGCCTCCTCTACGGCCTGTGCGAACGCCTGAGCACAAGGGTCAGTCGATGCCAAAAGTCTAGCCCTCTCTCGCTCCATGATGTCGTGTGTTGCGTCTGGAGACTCAGTCGACGTCCTCTCTCTCGCGGTCTGCGTCGAAGTCCTGCCTGGCGCCTCGTCCTTCGATGGAGCCCGGTCCGTCGATGTCGCCCCGCCGCAACTAGGTGGAAGGCCCACCGACAAATCTAAGTCTAAGTGGGTCCCCATCTCTGAATCTGAAATCCCAAACCCCCTCTCCACGCCCGGGGTCATACCCGCTATGGCCGGATCGAGCTCCTCCGTGAGGAACTGCTGCATGAGGCGCTCGTCATCGCCCCCACGCTGCACCTCGGCCTGTGAAGCTATCTCCTCCTCCACTGCAGCTGCCGACGGTGCCTCCTCCTCCTCCACTGCTGCTGCCACCTCAACCTCCACTGCTGCTGCTCCTCCACCTGCTCCTCCTGCTGCTGCCACCTGCCCCTCCACTGCTGCACCTCCTCCTGCCGCTGGTGGATCCTCCTCCAACACTGATGCTGCCATCTCCTCCAGCACTGATGTTGCTGCTGCTGCTGCTATCTCCTCCACCGCGACTGCGATCGTCGCGTCCGGCACCGCTGCTGGTCCACTGAACTCTCCACTGCTGCTGCCGAAGGTGCCCCGTCCTCCTGCAATATCCCCAGGGAAGGTGATCGTAACCTAAGCTGGCGGACTGCCCCGCCTCTGTGGAGAAGGCCGCGCTGATGCAAAGAGGACCCCAACTCCTCCCTGTCCGGCTGAAGTGGCGAGACGGGCGATGGTGGCGCATGACTCGGAGCAGGAGGTGGCGGCATGGACGAATCCCGCCTCGTCGGAGTGGGGGTCGTCGCCTGTGCCTCTAGGCCGCCAGTGGAAGCGACCTCACCGAATAGGCCCCATAAATTCTCGTCTCCCCCCAGCATCTCCCTCTTCGCCCGGTCCGCCGCCCGTCGTGCAGTGTGTGCCCTCGTCTCCTCGGAGTCGGGATCGCCGTGCGTCTCGTCGATCTCCTGGGGAATGCGGAGCGCAAGGTCATCTGCTGCCTCGGGTATCGGCTCCTCGTCTGAGTCGTCCTCCCTGGGGTAGGGACGAAAAATGCAATCACGTCTATCGAAAACGGCATCAGCCGAGGGTGGTGCGAACGCCCCGATGGGATCCCGGGTAATAAGTGCAACCTGACGGGCAATCTCCTCCTCCGTCATCCCCCTGTGAGTCCCCGAGCGCACAGGCTCCAACTCGATTCCTGCCTGGCAATCCAGCATGCCCTCGTCCCGCTGCCATGGCAGCACATAACCGCATCCTGCCCGCCGATACTCATTCAACCGCACATTTGCGGTGATCTCAACGAGTTGCACGACCTTCTCGAAGGCCAACTGGTTGCGCTTCTTCGTGTGAATGCCCTTGTGGACTGCCCAGTTCCTCTCCGCTGGAGAGCCGCAAGACCACATGTGCATCACCCGAAGAGCGCAATGCTACAACTCTGGCGCGCCCAACCCGAACTGAGACCACCAAGACGCGCACTCAATCGTCTCGCTGTCGCCGCTGCATGCACGCCCACGAGCACGCCCCTCTGGCCCGCCCCAATCCCCGAACCTGCCCTGCTGAATGTGGAAGTCCTCAAACTGCCGACATGCAAGGATGTACTCCGCACCCTCCAACTCGAATCCCGTCTGCGTCAGAATGTACCTCTTGGCTTGCCCCACAAGCCAAGCATCGTACCGCTCTACCTGCTTCAAAACGTAGCGAACGTGTCGCCTGCGGGGGTTCAGTAAGAACCCTGCGCAGTGAGCCGGCTCAAGCATGTGCTGTGTGCGAGCCTGTACACGCTTGATGATCCGTTCGGCGAACGACTTCTCCAAAGGGGCGCATGTGACCGTGACACGGCGGACAAGATCCTACGTCCATTCGATCATGAGGAACATATACTGTCCTCCATGATCCATCCGCCTGAGCAACTCCATGACGGGCTGCATAATATGAACGATGGTGGCCACCCTCTTCCACCATGGATCCCATCTGATCTGTCGGCGCACCCAACGCGCCATGACGCACACATCGGCGGACCACGGGATCGAAACAAAAGCCCACGTGTCGTCCCCTCGCATCATGTCCTGCAGAGTGTCCGCGCAGGCTTTATAATCAACGACAAAGACAGAAATCCCGCTCGCCATAAACCCTACGCGCCCACACACTCTCTACTTCTAGACCTCATAGCCAACCTATAGTCACCACACTACCGCAAGTCGCGCGGCCTTCTCAACAATTCCGGGTCAAACTTGTTTTCTGTCACTTGCAAAAAACAGGACGGATACCCTTGTAAGGGTACTCGCGCCGACAGCGCAACAATGGTTAGCGATGCCACAACGATGGAGAGAGAAGGCACATCGATGCTTAGCGATGGCGCATCGATGGAGGGAGTTACCACAACGATGACCAAGATTTGTTATTGCACAACATCAGTTGCATTATCAAAGTGACATCCATCGCGTTGAACCTTCGTTAAGCATACCTGTCGCTTGTTTCGTGCGATTGCACAGTGATGGGCGGCTGCACCGACGACCGCCTGAAACAACAATACAATGGCGATGGCGGGATCGCGCAGGAGTGATGGAGAGCCTCTGGCGCAGGGATGGACGTTGCCCGGTGGTCGAGAGAGATCGCGTAGTAATGGAGTGAGATGGAGAGCGATCACTCAGCGATGGAGGGAGATCGTGCGGCAATGGAGAGATATCTCGCAGGATAGATGAAGAGAAACCGCACAGCGATGGAGAAGAGATCGTGAAGGCGCCAAGGTGCACAACAAATCAGCGATAGCGATGGCCAGCGCTGCGATGGGATAACATTGGCCAGGGCTTCGATGGCGATGGCCAGACCTGCGGTGGAGAGCGATGGCGCACCGACGGAGAGAGATGGCGTGACGATGAGAAAGATGGCGCAGCGATGAAACGCGTTACAATGGCTAGCGCTGCGATGGGAGCGATGGCGATTGTCAGCGCTGCGATGGTCAGGCGAGCGCGAGTCTACTGCGCGACGGCTGCGATGGGGGATGGGCAACACTGCGGTGGAGAGCGATGGCGCATCGATGGAGAGAGATGGAGTACCGATGAAAAAGATGGTGCAGCGATGGAACGCGTTACAATGGCCAGCGCTGTGATGGCAGCGATGACGATGGCCAGCGCTGCAATGGAAGTGATGGCGATTGTCAGGTGAGCACGACGACTGCGATGGCGGATGTAGCTTTGCGTCGCGATGGCGATGAGCTAAGTGCATCGATGGCGATGGTGCGTGGCGAGCGTTGGCGATGGCGATGAGCTAAGCTCATCGATGGCGATTGTGCATGGCTAAACGCATCGATATCCAACACCGTTGACATTTGCAAAATGTCCGAATGACAGCGACACCGGAACTTATAGATTTCCGGTGTTTTTGACCTCGGCGCACAACGAATCGCTGCGCCTCGGCGCGAAATAAACCGTTGCCTGGCCTCGGCGCGCAACGAACCGTCTCGGCGCACAACGAATCGCCGCGCCATGTGGATTCTTGCGCCTGACCTCGTGCGTCGGATCATGCTGATCGACGGTCCAGATTACAAGTGCGAAAATGACCTTGCCTGCAGCTTGTTTTTTGGAACTGTCACATCATTGCACGCCGGAGTTGGCGGAGATTTTGGGGCCACTGGCATGTCAGTGGCTCCGTTCATCTGCGCCGTTCAAAATTGTTGATCGACGGCTGACAATTTCCGATACCTCTTACCCATTTATAGGCCCTGTCGTTTTGTGGGCCCAGGCGTGCGATATGCGAATCGATACGACCCCATCTTGATATCGACGCGAGGCTTGCTGCAGGAAAGTATAAAAGGCATTGCCGCCCTCGCGTTATCCCTTTTGTTGTCATTCCACAGGTCAAGTCGCGCTATCGCTTCCGCGCGCATTCTGATATTTTGTCTTCAACCCCCCCCACCTTCCGCCATAGCCCGTTCGCTCTTCGCTCTTCGTAGCTCGCTCTTCATGGCTAGATTTCCATTCGCCATAGCCGGTTCGCTCTTCCTAGCTCGATATCCCTCCACCATAGCTGGTCCGGTGGTCGCACATCCATATCCGTCCGACGTTGGTCGCTCGCTCAACGCACGAGGAAGGTAAGATTCTGTAACTTGAGTTGTTTCGTTCTGTGTCCGATGTCCGAACAAATTCCCAGATGCCCCGTATCTACCTGCAGGATATAACGCCACAGTTGCCGCATGTTGAACCCCGAATCAATCCCTGGTTTTGTTGTTTCGCCAGCGAACGTGTTCTGATGTCTTTTCTCCACCCTCCACCTCCGTCCGCCATAGCCGATCCGCGTTTTGCAGCTCGATGACCTTTCGCCATAACCATGATAACGTTTGTATAAAGGTGCTCGATTCCCTTCGCAACTTTTCGTCGTCACTGAGCATGGTGGGCCCCGATTCAATACGTAGTTTCGACACTGAACACCGAATCAATTCCCGATTTTCGCTCACCTCTCCCTTGTGAGGCCGCCGACCTGATATATATATAAATATATATATATATATATATATATATATATATATATATATATATATATACATATATGTATATATTGCGAGTCAGTTCGCAGTTTGCGACGTACACTATTTGAGGAGTGACAACTGCGAGTGAGTTCGCACTTTTTGACCAACAGTGCTGGAGGAGTTGTTAACCTCCGTCTCCGGAACTGAGAGTTAGTTCGCACTTTCCCCAAGATAAGCCGCCTTTTCTCAAACATGACTTTCACGTTTCCTGTACTGAGGGTTGCAATTGTTGTCTTGTCTCCAGAACTGCGAGTTAGTTCGCACTTGTCGATACCCTTCGCACTTGTAGATAAACCACATCTTACTCGTTTCGTCGCAGTTTGCGACGTACACTGCTTGAGGAGTGACAACTGCTAGTCAGTTCGCACTTTTTGACCAACACTGCTGGAGGAGTTATCAACCTCCGTCTCCGGAACTAAGAGTTAGTTCGCACTTGTAGACACCCATGTCGTGCATCTTTCAGGTCTTCAAGTACACATCTCCGAGTTAGTTCGCACTTTCCCCAAGATAAGGCACCTTTTCTCAAACGTGACTTTCACGTTTCCAGTACTGCGGGTTGCAATTGTTGTCTTGTCTCCAGAACTGCGAGTTAGCTCGCACTTGTCGATACCCTTCGCACTTGTCGATAAACCACATCTTACTCGTTTCGAGGGCGGCGAGTTGGGTCGCAATCTTTACGAAGAGTTTTTGTTTTCCTTCCGAACTAACTCTGCCARAGGAGTGTTGCATTTCAAACACCAATCTCATTCGTMGGTTTCCTTCTTCCCAGAACTGCACGTCGGTCCCCCSTTGTTCATACCCMTTGTCGACTTCGTTCSCGGCGGAACTCCGAGTTAGTTCGCACTTTCYTGAAGACACATCACCTCTTCCTCGATTGTAGGACTGYTGCCTTTCCTCTCCTTTGCCCAATTGTTGTGACTTCGTGTGCATTTCGAACACCCAYCTCTTATGTCCTTCTCGTCCTCCATTTCGTCAAGTCCRAGTTAGCTCGCACTTTGCTTCTGTAATGTTAKGAAAACCTYGTTGCTTTCCTCCCGGTCATCCGATTTGGTCTGAGGTTGGGCGTATTAGTCAACAGGTGGGAGTACAATGGCGTYCGCAAAGAACACATCCACAAGCGYTGGGCCATYTGCCCCCGGGGAGGGACGACYTCTTCAGCAATCAACTCCTCCGTATTTTCATACAAGGGAAGCACAATGGTTTTTKGACTTCGTTGTTCAGGGGAACCGTTTTGGGCCAGCTSTTTTCATGCAACCCACTTGCTTTCYGGACGYTGAGGGAGYGGACGACGTTCTTCCTCTCGGTACCATCGTCTCGTTCGAGAAGATTCCTRGAGGTTTGTTCAAGCTRCAGACTAACGTYTTSTACGAYCAGTGCAGACTGCCTTTCAGAGATGKTAAGGGTGTGATAGTGGCCATMAAGAGTTTCGCTGGGTACGGCTCGAACATTYCGTTGTRCCCTCACTTCAAAGGGCTTTACGATGGCAAGCGTCTTCCAAWGCCAGTSCAATACCTCGGTCTCGCGCTGAAGGTGCCGAAAGAACGTCCGGTTCTTCYGCGAGAATATGTTTTYCGGCTTCTGCCACCCCATGAGGGGTCGTCCGGCTTGGCTCAAGAGACTGYTGAGACGCCAGTGGGGCATGGGAGGGCGATTCAAGACGCCGAGGGTCGRGGCAAGGGGCGCGCAYGCAGAATTCACACGCARGTCGGCACGGATRCTCCTGGGAGCAYGTCAGACTTGCATTCTCCAGATGCAGGGACTCTCYRGGTCGGAACTCMAAAAATCCTCAAGGTCCACTGCCAGGGCGACACGTATTCGCTTCGGGATGARAAGGRAAGAGAATMYGGCAGATCGGGGCAAGAGGTTGTAGGGAGTGAGGCTGAAGGGATGGGCGYTGTACGGGAAAGCTCTGGCGGGRAGCCGACTTCTTCGGAGAAGAAGCGCGAGCGAYAGAGGATGGTGCGAGAGGAGGTGGYGGAGGAAACCCGCCGCAYGAAGAGGATGAAAGGGCAATCGAAGGCGGTGATGGGCGGGGATGGAGGTGATGTCGGAGAACGTGCCTCGGGAAAGAGGGCGCCTGGGATGCGTGGCGGACAAGAACATGGAGTCGGAAAGACGCCGTCGAAGGAAGAGGGTGCGGCGACAAGTAAGAAAGCGAGGAGGCCCGGCGGTTTGACCATCCGTGAAGGACAAGCCATGGGTGGAGGAGATTCGGCTCATCCAGGCGTTGCGGCCATAGGAGAACCTGCGGGGAAATCCAAAAGGAAAGTGGCAGCTGAAGAAGGCGATGGCCAGAAGAAACCTCGAAGGAGGAAGACTGTTGAGGCAGCGAGCGGTAGCGGACGGCCGGCTGTCGGTGGGTACTGCGACGAAGCGGCAGCGTTCTGGCCCGAATACGAGCGGAATGATGACGGTGAGATCATGGAGAAGGAACTCCCCGTCCAACTTCTCATCAACCCCAGGAATGTCTGCGACATCCCGCCTTGGGAAAGAGATTACAACCACTGCAGTCTCAGTCGTGAAAGTGTAGACGACATACAGGCTGCGATGCTAATTCAGCACCACGGGGAAAAGGGGAAGATATGGACAAAAAACCCTTTGGTTTTGGCACCCATCTACAAGTCGGTGGCGCGTAGGCCGGAGAAAGCTGACAGGGTTCACAAAGACGTCTTCAAGCCAGAGGACAAGGACAAGTACTGCTATACCCCTGTCAACGGACAACACACCATGGCTGCTGTGAAGGAGCTGGTGGATGAGCCAATATTCAATTTGTGGAAGATGCACTCGTGGCCGGCGAGAGTAGTGTGGTTCTCCGACGAAGATTTCGGGGAGTATGTGCAGGTCAAACTCAACGAGAACACGAGACACAAGAGGTCTAAGCAGCGATCGCAGAAGGCCGCGTTCGAGGACATGCAGCAGGCATGGGAGAAAGAAGGTAGGCCGGTGGCCATTCAAGGGAACCCTTCCGGCAAGGAGGCCGAAAAACGAGCGTTCTTCAAATTCCAAAAGCTGCTTTTGGGAAAGAGCTCGAACGACGCCCACTGGACGTTGGCAAAAAAAACGCTAACGCTCGCCGACAAGGAGTACGTAGCTGCTGTTGGCAATGCATTGAGGCAGTGGATGCCGCTCGTGACGGCCGGTGACAACGTTTTTCGTAAATGCATGGAGTTTTCCGAGAAATGGGCGGAGGGGAAGTTGTTGGGCGGCGACGGGAAGACGCCATTGTCGAGGCCGGGCAAATACATGCCAGACAAATCTCCGGGTCTTCAACCAATTCCGGAAATGGGCTCGAAAGGGAYGGCTGGTGAAACGAAGATGGGGTGGCTGGTCCGGGTCCCGCCGCCTCCGACCAAAAAGAAAACGCAAGCGAACGACAAGTTTTTCGTGGTCGTGAAGGAGCCGGACATGTTCTGTTGGAAGTGTCTCGCCGACATGACCGATGCCGAAAAACTGTCGATCCTCTACGACATTCTCGCACTTAGGAGAGTGTTCGTCCACCGGCGGGCGGGCATCTGAAACGTCAACATAAGCTTGGAATTAAAGACATGGTCGCGGCGACGAAAGTGGACCGCGTGATGCTCCGTATGTTTCACTACATCTTGTTCCTTGAAACGGACGAGGACGAAGGTGTTTCGCGCTACGGGAGCACTTTTTTCCGGACTGAGGGCCAGCTTCTGGCGGAGTTCGGGCCGCAGGGCCTCACAAAACAGGTGTGGGTAGAACTGCGAAAGCATTTCCAGGGCGCGGTGGAGTACGTGAATACTAGCAAACGTACTCTTCCACACGAGAAGGAGTCCCTCGACGACGCGAAGAAATTGTACGAGGACGACAGGTTCCCTAAATCTTTCGAAAAGTCTGTCTGTTCCATCTTGCGACGGACTGAAGAAGAAGTTCAAGACACGATCAGGGTCAGCGGGGATGTGAGGCACATCAAATGGCACAACCTCAAGCGGGTGACCAGCCTTATTCCTTTCGCTTTCCCGCCTTCCCAAGCTCACAGTCGTATCACAGAGATCCGTGAGATTGTGCGACATTACGTGTGCAACCTTTATGTC